ACATGTGTCCTGTGATTCCCTGCTAGCGTGTCTCCGCACTCGTGTCACCTGGTACACTGTGGATCCTTACCTGTGCCTCGGCCTTTGTTCCTGCATTCCTGGTTGTTGCCTTCCTGTTGTTTGTTCCTGCCTGGCCCTGGTAACCAGCTAGTTTTGTATGTATTAAAGCAGGGATGAACAGTGAGGACCACGGAGGGCTGTTGTGGCTGCAGGTTGTTGTTCCAGCCAAGCAGCAGCAGCAGCAGCAGCACCCGCCGCAGCGGGGGGGGGCGGGGGGGCGGCCCGGCCGGCGGGGCGGGGGCACCACGCACAACGAAATTTACCCTCTGCATTTAATCAACGGCTATGAGTGTTCAGACAGTTGATTGGTCAGTCAGTTTCAAACACTGTTTCCTGATTATACAAAACATATTTTGTACAAATAGAAACAATAAAGATCTGAGTTTATACGTAGACAATGTATCGACTCAAATATTTACAGTAAAACGCATACATAGGACAACGGAATCACTCAATAAAATCAAAATACAAACGGGCATCTAAGTTGACATGATCACTGTCCTGTCTCTTAACAGTATTTGATGTTGTTTTAGACCAGAGAGTTTTAATAAGTAAGTGCTTTATGTTGCAAATGAAGTTAAATAAATTAAGTAAATAAAATAAATAAATTGTAATCAGTTTAAACTTACAATCTTACAATATTATTTATAATTTATATATATATATAATTAGTCACTTTGTTTTAATTTATTTTTGTAAGTTTGTATGTCATTTCAATATGATTGAAAATAATTGAAATTGTGATTTTTGCCATAATCAAACCAAATAAAGGAAAATATCAAAGGTTCATCAAAAGTGTAACATTTTACTCATTTATTATTATTTTTTATAACTCATTAGTGACTTAATGTAGTTGTTCTTCGTCTATTGGTAAAAAAGTTGTCTCGTGCGTTTTTAAATGTTGACCAAATAAGCTTATTTTTTAATATTTATTTTCTGCAGAACATCGCCGTCCACTGGCCACCATAACCACATTCAACCACACCACAACCGCACTCTAAAAGTTCTCTAAAAAGCTAAAAACGTAGAATTCAGCGAGCTTAGCTTTAGCTTTAGCTACACGGATGTTAAACAGCTGCGAAATCATTAAAGGTTGACATATAAAAAAAATATTGAATCAGTATTATCGTTATTCATTATTATTTTATTTTTATTAGTTTTATTTAATTTTCTGTGTTCGAAAGGTGGCAGCCATTTTACTAAAAAATCTCTTTTTAATAAATAATTGTGCATTTACATTCTATCGTCTGAAAAAAGTCAATAATACTTGGCAAAACCTGGTTTCATTTAAATCAAAGATTGAATTTCCCTTCCCTGCTCATTTTGGGTACTCGCCCCCTGGGGACGGAAAATAAGAACGCACTTCGTTTAAACACTCGCTTGGTAGTAAAAAATATATTTTTCACAAAGTTACTAAAACGTTGAAACATGTGAAAAAGTTTCATGAATTTATATCGTTATTTTATATTTTTAAATTCGCTTTTCTTCTGTCGAAAAGTGTCTATTTTCTTCATTTTCCACAAGGGCAGTTTAGCGTAGGGACACATTTTATGATGAAATTTTGTGTGGTGATGCGGTCGGTTGTTCGGTTTAGCTCCGCCAACAACGAGGTCCGGCCATTAAGTTGTACAGTATGTGGCCCAAGCGTGCAACTTCACCCTGGACGATTCGCCCTCTTGTGGCTCAAACACGAAGCTGCACTCATCATTGAGCCGCACGTTTAGGCGGGAACTTGTTGATGATTGAAGTTACACGCTTGGGCCACATACTGTACAACTTAATGGCCGGACCTCGTTGTTGGCGGAGCTAAACCGAACAACCGACCGCATCACCACACAAAATTTCATCATAAAATGTGTCCCTACGCTAAACTGCCCTTGTGGAAAATGAAGAAAATAGACACTTTTCGACAGAAGAAAAGCGAATTTAAAAATATAAAATAACGATATAAATTCATGAAACTTTTTCACATGTTTCAACGTTTTAGTAACTTTGTGAAAAATATATTTTTTACTACCAAGCGAGTGTTTAAACGAAGTGCGTTCTTATTTTCCGTCCCCAGGGGGCGAGTACCCAAAATGAGCAGGGAAGGGAAATTCAATCTTTGATTTAAATGAAACCAGGTTTTTCCAAGTATTATTGACTTTTTTCAGACGATCGAATGTCAAGGCACAATTATTTATTAAAAAGGGATATTAAGTAAAATGGCTGCCAGGTTGATATAGTGTTCCTGAGGGTTTTCCCGTGACTACATTATAGTTATGATCCCTCCAGTGGCTCTAATATACAACCACACAGAGCAGACAACCTTAATAAATAAAATAAGTAACGATAATAATGATTCAAAAATGTTTTATATGCTAACCGTTAATAATTTCTGTTTAATATCCGTGTAACTAAAGCTAAAGCTAAGTTCGCCACTGTTTAATATTCGTGTAACCAAAACTAGAGCTAAGCTCGCTACTGCAGAGAGAATGCTGGCCAGTAGACGGCGATATTCTGCAGAAAACCAAATGACAAAATAAAAACAGCTTATTTGGTTAAAATGGAGGAACAATACTATAGATGTTGTTTGTGGACTGCTATGCTGCCAAACAACAACAATAATAATAGTGAAATTACACTTTTATATAACTTATATATTTTAATAAAATGTGATATTTGGACAGTAACATATTGTAAATGTTTTGGCAAAGAAAGCTGAGCTTATTTGTTCAAACTGAGCTATGAAAATGAATATCACACAACATGAGTAGCTTTTAACCATTTTTATTTTGTAAAAGAAGCTCTTGGAGAACAAAAGGTTGACCCATGGTCTACATTGTCTCAGTCCTTAGTGTGTCATCATTGTCTCATTCCTAATAACAAAGTAGAAATACACAATTATTTAAATAATAAAAAAAAAACAGATCAAAACAAAATACATTTCTAATTCATGGTTTGGAAGTGATGAATGTGTTTGTTAAAAAGTTAGCGGTGTTACGATTTCTAAACTCTGTTTAGTTTGTGGACAATTTCGTTATTTCTGCAGCACATAAAGCAAAAGTCACATGACTGAGGATCAAGGCCTCACCATTAACTGCAACCGCCAACTAAGTTTGGCCATTGTTCCTCTACAGGACAGGGTCAAAGATGTGAGGTCAAAACGTTTTTAAAACATGTCCATCACAGCCAAAGTAAACTGGGCTGTGAAATAAAGTAATTTATTCACCGGCAGCTACAGAGCCCCTCCCACTTAGCCCGTTTTTGTTAATCATATCAGTAATAGACTCCTTTGTTTGGTAATGAGAGCAGCTATTTATGATAGGTAATAATAATAATAATGGCTATTGCCATTTCATCTGTTGGGATTGAATAAATAACAAAGCTTTGTGCAGCGTTCAATGTCACAGTGAAACACACACACACTCACACACTGTGCATCTGTAATTGTTGGGTTGACGGTGAAGTGGCCGACAGCCTCGGTCGGGCAACACTGAGAGAGAAGCAAAGGTCCTTGGAGTTATTCTTTCTGCTGTAACAATGAAGTGAATTTAGTGTTAATCACACACTTTGGTTCGGTAATAAAGTCCTGGCTGTTCTCACCCGGGGATGAGACTGTTTTCATGCTAATTGTACAGTGCAATAATAATTAAGTTAATGACATGGAGCTCTCTGCATGCAATTTAAAAGAAAATGTTTGCAGTGCTCGGGGAAGACTGCCACTCGTAATGACCGACTTAGTTCTCAGTGTTTACAAAAGTCAGAGAGGTCAGGATCACACATCACCAGCAATTACACTGTAAATCCAGCAAACAGAACAGAGAGAACATTTGAAAGTTCTAAAGTTTTTTTTTTCTTTTCTATTTTTACACGACACTCCACCAAAAGTCCAAAAGTCCACGACAAAGCAACAACTTTCAGCGCTCAACTTCTGCTGCCTGCCGGTGCCAGCAACTCCAGCTGCAACAGTCTGACAAAACCGGGTGTTGACAAAAAAAAAAAAAAAAGTTCATTCTTAACTCACAAACACAGAGTCGATGCTTGAGATAGAATTTGTGCCTTTTGTGGGCCGGATGATAATAGGTGAAAACAAAGAAGTGGGGTGTAAAATGCTTCAGCTGAGCGTGATTACAGCTGTGGCCGTCATTAGGCAGCCTCTTTAATGTAATTGATGGAGTGGATTCTCATAGCAGACCTCAATAGACTGGGCAGGGTCTCCTCGTTTATTTGGGCTCATCTGCATTTCTGTGTGCGTGCGTTTCTGTGAGTGTGTGTGAGTGTGTGTGGCCAGCATGAGGTAGAGCCAGAGTGAGCAATAATTATGACTTCACACTCTTCAGACACTTAGAGAAAAGAGCAAAACAAAGTGCAGTAATCAGTACGGCTGTGTGTGTGTGTATTTGTGTGTGAGCACACATGTTCGAATGTGTGTGTGCGTGCATTGCCTGAGTTCCATAAGTGTGTGTGTATGTGTGTGTGAGAAAGAGAGAGAGAGCGTGAGACAGAGGTGAAGACCCTTCAGAAATGACACGTTTTCTCTTTCTACCCCATCCTTTCCCCACACATTAGGTGCTTACAAAAGACAGAGCACTAATGCATCATCTAATTGGCCTAGGCTCCTGCCTCTGCCTCTCCCTCCATCACTCTATTAGCTCAGTAATTACCCATATGCCTCGGCTAGGCAGGCGTCCAGATAATGGCCGCCTCAAGGGCCCTTGAGCGTGGTAGAGAGGGGCCGCAGTCTGTCGCTGCGGGAACACAGCAAACTCTCCAAACTATCCCAGCACAGGAGGAGGGAAACACAACAGGGAAAGACTTTGGCAACTTGGTGTCTGCTTCCTCTCCCAAAAAACCAAAAAAGTGGAGATGCAAATGAACGGCAGCTCAGAGAGGATGTGGTCCCTAGTGGCGGTGATGTGATATGACTAATGAGTTGACGTCTTTACACTTTGCTGAGGTTCACCAAAGAAACTTAAGAAGTCTTCGACTGGCAGCTCTGAGCTACATGTTAATGTGTTCCTGCGCAAAATAGTTAAACAACATAATATGTTGTAGCTCATCAATCAGGCATCTTTTGAAATGCTAACATCTGAAACACTTGACATCCTTTGGTGTTACTCTATATGAGTGTGTGGGTCACTGTTACAGAGAGAAATGTATACTGAAAAGAAGACAATCTTTTCTCTCTCTTTTTGTTCCTCTCCCATTGAGACCTCCACACTGACTCCCAGATCTCACATCCTTTGGAAGCTGACATTCTAATTCTCCAATCTCCATTCTTCAGTCTCTTAATTAAATTCTCATAATCTGGCAAAGAATCAAAGTGGCCACCTACATCCTGGTCCCAAAGGACGCTTCTCAGAGGCAGAAAACAAAGAGCGTCTTAAATATTTCCCTTTCTCTCTGCAGCGTAATATGGATTACAGAGCTCTGTCTCCCACTCTCACCGTCTGAATCTGTCATCTGCTCTCATCCCTACATCCAATCCACCCTGGGCACATTTTGTGACACTAAAGCTGACCACTGAATATTATCTGGGTTTTTTTTAAATAATCAGATAAATATATAAATAAAGCATCCAACAGTGATGCTAATATATAAGAGGGACAGTGGACTGTAATCTGGGTTTGGTGAGGTATCTTCCCTCGGCTGCTCAGAGATTTGTGAGATCACTGTCAGCTGCGGGCCAGCTGAATTATCATTTTTCATTGTGTTAATCTGTTGGCATGCAGATTGTGGTAGACTAAGGTTGAAGTGGGAAGGATTAGGGGAGATCTGAGCAAAGCTGATGCAGCCTTCTCAAAAAAACGGCCCAAGCGTTCTAGCCCCCTGTGATGCATTTTTTTTTTTTTTATGTAAAAAGTGACCAAAGGGACCAGTGGAACACAGTCTCCCCTCACACACCAGCACAGTCGAAGATACAGACAAATCCATCCTCTCCATTTGACATAATTCCCCTCTTAAAGCCTCCCCTCGGACCCACCGCTGTGAGTGTGGGACCAAAAATGCAAAAACCAGTGGCCGTGCCCACTCCACAAATCCCAAAAACCTTTTAAAGCCACTTGACAGAGAGGAACCCATCTGGAGAGGATATCCACCTTCCATTAATCACGAGGCTCAGGTCTAACTTTAACTGCGCAGCATTTGTTTACATAAATAAATGAAAGTCATGTGACGCCGTAATGTCACACGGTTAAAACCTTATCAAGACGCACAAGCAGAACAAAGACAGGCCTGTAACTTTGGTAACTGTCCGCTGTCGGTTCAATAACCCGGCACTTTGTGTCGGACTCTCTGCGATTATCCGTGGAGTGTGATAAAATCACTTCAGGTAAATGAGTGATTGGACTGGAGGACTGCTGAAGTACAGCTCAGCAGTCCTTTAGCCGCTTCTGTTTGCTAAATGGAGCCACGATGTTGGGAGGATGAGGAGGCTGGAAGGGTCACGGGGGTCAACATGGACCGGCAATTGGACGACACTACTGGATAGAAACGACCAATCAGGCTCTCCGTAGATCCTCGACCCTGGGACCGGGAGATGAAATATTTTTATTCCACCGATCACTTGGCTCGGGTGGAAACCTAAATGAACAGTTCTCTTAAAGCGTTTTATTTAGTGCGAGGTTAACGTGACTGTCGGAGCACGTCTGTGGAATTACACGATAAAAATATGACCTGGGGATTTTTCAGTTAATTTAAGTTTGTTTCTTACTTCACCGTTTCTTACTGTATATGTACATTAATGTGATTTATGTCTTAATTAGGTTCTCTGCTGCATCAGGGGCCGTATCAGTAAAAGGTTAATAGGTCTCTGTTAAGGCACTGGGAGGAACAAGACCAAAACATTTTAATGACGACTGGCCGTCTTCTGTCGTCTCCTCATTGTGCTCGTACTCTGGCCCTTGAGTAATCTTCCGTATGTCAAGACTTCCGGGGCAGTGGCTCTGTCAGCCGTCCAATTAAAACAAGTCCGTCGGTCCGAGGAGACGTCCGCTCTTCTGTGTTTGTGATCCGTGAATGAGCAATGAAATCAGGAGTACGTTTCGATTCTTGTCCAGTTTAATTCCTGCAAATATAATAATGAGGTTCAACAGTGGAATAATGACAACTGAAATGCAGTCAGAAAACAAGTCAGTTTCTTGTAATAAAAGATCTGTCATGTCTTTATCATGAGTTTAAGATAAGTACAGTACAACGATGTTAGGCCACAGTTACGATACCTCGGTAACACGTGATAGACTGCTGCTCTCCGGTGAACCTGATTGGTGGTCCAGGATCTGCCTTCAAACCACTTGGCTGGGACAGAGGTCCTGCAGAAAAAGATGGAGATTTTCAGCTGCTTAGCCTTCAGGATTACTGACACGCTGGTGGTACGAAACCCACTCAGTAGTCTGTGTGTCTCTGAGCTGAGTATTAGTCTGGGCCACAGTGTGTCAGTGTGGATGAGGAGGGGTCTGGAGTCTTAGACAACACAAGAAAGACAGCCAGGACAGAAGGAGAGGGAGAGCTCAGCCTGCTAAGCAGATCAGCATCCTTTGTGAACACAGTTAGTGTGAGCACTTGAACATTTTTTGGAGCTGGAGCTAATTCTGCTTTTTGGTGTTTACTGCAGTGCAACTGGAGAAAAGACCAGAGAAGAGGATTTATAACTGACAAGACGCACAAAAATACTGCAGTACACTCGTGTACTGACCATAAGAAGGGTTTCCACATGCAAACTGGAAAACTGTTCCAGTTCACGTGGGGCCGACACCATAACGGCTGGAATGTTGAGAGAAGAACTTTAATGGAATCAAAATCCAACTGTTAAATGTTTGTTGTTTCTGACCCTTTTTACTCCTTAACCCACACTGTCTGTTTACATGTTTACTTTTTTGGTAACAGAAACAGTCAATAATCTGTTTTCCTAAACGAATTTTAATCACTCTTTCAAATATTTGTGTGCAGTCGTGTCCTTTAGGATTTGAGATGGCCACAAACAACAGGAGAGAGAGAGAGAGAGAGAGAGAGAGGGAGAGAGAGAGAGGGAAAAAGATCAACAAACAGGCGAAGCATAGAGACAGAACAGTTTGAGGATGAACGCTGCTAATCCTGACCTCGGCTAATGCTAATGCAAATGCATGTTTATCAAATATGCAATCAACATTAGTTAGAACAACAAGGATGTGCCAGCACTCTGCTGTCTGTTCCGTGATTGTGGAGGAAGGAGATTAAGATGAGCTTTAGTGACGAGCAGAGATGAAGGAGGGAAGAGTTCACTGCTGCAGAGAGACGTCATGTCCTTAAGTTAAAATGATGTCCAGCAGCAAACCATGAAAATTCTAACTTTTTTTTTCTTTCTCTCCTACTTGACAAACTCACATTCAGAGTTTATTTTAAATAAAGAAATAGTACAGTTTTTAACGCTGTACTACCAGACTCGCAGTACTTAATCACTGATTCAGATTCTCCATATACTCACAGAGTTTTGGAGGCCATTGTGAATTTGCATCGCCGCCGCACCGCCCTCCTGTGCTAAAAGGGAAGCTGTTGTGCGCTGTGTTGCGGGGCAGTTTTGGTGGTTCGATGTTTACGAGATGACACAGGGGCACCAGTCTTACCAGTGTGAGCCTCCCTTGGGCACCTGGAGAAGCAGAGGTAACCTATTTTCTTTGGCAAGGTTGAGCAGTCGCACACGAGCGTGTTGCTCCTTTAGGCTCTCTTACCTTGTTGTCTCACTCTTTTCTTTGTGTGGGTGTTTTTTTTTTTATATTGTTACTCTTTTGTTTTAACGTCTCCTACCACAACTTTCTTTACCTCTCTCTCTCTCTCCCTCTCTCTCTTCGTTTCCATGTTTTCTTAGTGTTTCTTGAACCCCCCCCCCAGTTCATCCATCCTTCTCTCACACCATGCATTGTCACACTGGGATAAAGGCGAGCCCCCACTGTGCTGTGTTTGCGTACTTGGTTGCAGGGTTTGTTGTTCCTAAATGAGGTCATTAGAAGACACTCTGACCTATCCAAAGGCGTTTGTTCTGCACTCTGTTTTTTATACTCCTTTCTTATCATTAGCATTTTATTATATCAGCAGAAAAGGGTGAAAGAAAACCCTACCTTTGTCCCTTAAACTACTTCAAAGTACAGATGAAGTTAGTTCATTACACAAAAAGTCTTAGTTTTAGCTGACAAAAAAAGACAAAAATGTGGTAAGATATAGACAAATGAAAATTGCCTACAGCAAGTTCAGGTGAAATAAAATGTTTATCCAAATTCTAGCTACAGTTTATTATGAAAAAATTCTAAATGTAATTTAATTTGAGGAAGTGAGGTCACGGTCCTAAAACATTTGGTTAAACTGACCTTGTTGACCTCCTGCTGCACCCGTACAGTTTACACCTCTGTTCACTTAGACATCAGAGCGTCCCTGTCCTCCTGTCCATCAACTACCACTGCTACAAAGAAACATAATGCACCCGGGTGACACATCTGGGGTGAGCCTCGGGGGCCTTTGCTCCTTCTTCTCCTCCACTCTCTGTGGCACTTTTCCAGATCCCTGATGACACCTGTGAGTCCTGGCAGAGCTCCTGGTCTACAGGAGCTGTTAGCAGACGTTCATGTCAAACAAAACACCAACACCACAGTGTGTTTCCCCCCCCCCCCACTCTCTCTTCGCCGGATGACTCCGACCCTCTTTCCGCTGCGCCCACAGAGGTCTTTCAGCCGTCATGTGACTGCGTGCTACGGTAAACACTGACAGTCAATCTGTCTTTTTCTCACCGTGTCAACACCTTTCAATTATCACTGAATGTCGAGGATGTCTGCTGAGTCCCCTCACATCTCTGCCAGCCAACCCCGTGTCTTGTGTTGTGTAACACTGTCCCTCATTGTGCCGCCGCACTCATAAACATACTTCATATGCAGCGTCTCTGAAGTGTATTCCATTGTTCCTCAAGTGGGCGGACGAGTGTTGCCGCTCTCACTGGCCCATCTCCTGAAACAATACGCGTCCACCGCATCACCACCTCACACACGTGTTGAAAAAAAAAAAAAAAAAAACGCCAAACCATGACCACTTACGCCTGGAAAAAGAAAATTACCTGAGCACAAAGCAAGCTCTTATCTGCACACCCTAAAATACATCACAGCACTCTTGTCACTGCAAGTGGAGAGTCTATTAAAAACAATTATTTTAGCCCTTTACTGGCAGTTTGGTCTTTGTGATACATTGTGTTTCTGAGTGAAGAAGTATGGGCGGTAATCAGTGGAGGAGCCACACGGTCAGGGTAAGGCTGATCTAAACACGCACGCATGTGGGAGGGGAGAGGGTGGACGGGGTGGGAGGAGGGGAGGGAGGCTGAACGACACAGAGCCATGGAGGAAACCCGGCTCTGACTGTCTCTGGTTCAGGACGTCTTTAACTAATTCATCTAACACTAACTGAACTGCTGTGATTTCTAGATCATGGACCTGTGGTCCTGACACACACGGTCACCTCTTCAACTGTCTGATCAAACTACTGCTTCATCACATCTGTGCCAGTCTTATATCTGGTCTCCCTAAGTCAAACATTTGGAAACGCTGACATGCAGGTACAGGCTAATGTATGACTCAAACGGTGGATGTGTGGTTGGCTCTCTTGCCTTACAGTTGAAGGGATCGGTAGGTCAGGCTCCTGCAGTAACTGGTGGTCTTTCTATGTGACGTTTTCCTCATCTTCTCACCTGTGCGTGGGTTTTCCCTGCGTCCTGTCAGAATCCAGAAACAAGCAAAAGGTGAACAGGTTAACTGGACACTGGGTCGACCATAGGGTTGAATGTGGAAGACCTGTGATTGGACGGAGTGACTGATAAACTGTCCAGCAGCTGCTGGGACTGGCTCCAGCTCACCCTGCAACCAGGAATAAAGAAATTAATTTAGTATAATGTGAAAAGGGTTTAAAAATACACACATCTAGCAGTGGGTTCTTCCTTTAAAAAAAACTCGTACAAAAGTATCCAGAAATAAATGTCAAATTCAACAAAATATATACTTTTACACAGTTAAACACAGTTAAAAAATACTGTAGCAGTTACTGAACAATGTTTGAATCTCGACTTTTTTTGGGTTCATGAAGTTAATTTTGGTCACGACTGGTAACAAAGATTTCTCCAGTGTAAATATTCATGAGGAATAAATGGAAACCAAGCAGCGATGAGAGCAGAGTGAGATACATGGAAAGAGGAAGGACAGAGTCAGAGACACAAAGCGAGAACTAGAGGTGTGAGACATGTGGGTGGACACTGGGCATGGTGGCAGTAGGCACAGGGGCTTAATGAGAGGTGAGCCAGAGGAGAAAGTGAGCAAGGACAGAGAGAAGGTAGCAGGGAGAGGGAGAGGGAGAGGTGAGAAGGAGGGAGTGAGTGATAGATGGTGCAGCAGGAGAGGGGGAACAGAGGAAGAGAGGGAGGACAGGACTTTGGAAAACAGAAGCAGTAAACAAAAAAGCCAAGAATAGAGTCCAGGTGTGAAAAGTGAAGAAACATGTGAGGGAGTCCAGGATGGAGAGGACGGGATAGAGGAGAGCACCGAGGGGAAGAGCAAGACAGGGTCACCGCAGGAGACGTCCTCCAAGTTAGAAAACAAAGCAGGTGGAGGAGAACAGCCAGTGTTTACCAGCTTAGCCCCCACAAGCTCTGATCGCGTCCACAGACAGAACCGTCTGTAGTTTTACTCGTAAAAATACACAAAACTGAAGTTGTGGAGAAGAGCATTAAAAAAACCACAAGTTTCTCTAAACAAAGAAACCCAGTCCTCAGACACAGAGGAGAGTAAGGAGGGGACAAACACAAACTTGGCTCCATCCCAACTTGTGAAGGAGTTTGGGACAGCACCACGCCACCCCCCCCTCCCCTGCCCCCACCTTCTTCCTCTCCACTACAGTCCCTCCAAATCCCCCCCTCTATAAAGGTGATGTATGGCCAGGGGATGGATGTGCCCTTGTCAGAGCCATTACTGAAAATACTGATGGATGGAGGGGAGACGAGGAGGAGAAGAAGGAGAAGAAGAAAAGCAGGTGATGGGGAGGTGACAGTGATGAAGCATGGGAGCGCCACGCGGCCACGTCTCAGACAGCTGTTCAACCACGGGGGCTAACATTCGGCAGTGAGAGTGTGTGAGTGTGTGTTTGGTGGGTGTAAAAATACAGGGGGAGCATATGCGCTCTTCCTCTGCTCGTGTATTTATAGTAAAATTATTTATAATTACTCAAAACACAAATCCCCAGTTTGTGCAGGAGACGGTCTCCACTTGCCATCAAAACCTGCTGCTCTTCGAGGTCTGGCCGTAGCCTTAAGGCTGCCTCAGGCTCTCAGGCCTCCCTCCGTGTGGCAGGACACCAGATCGGACTCAGACCCACACATCTGTGGCCCAGGGGCCTTTGTTCCTCCCAGAGAATGACACTCAGAGTCCCCAGAGCCATATTTAAGAGCAACAGTAAGTGATTATATATGTTTATACACACTATCTGTGTCTTAGTGTGTGTGACTTTGAGCCTGTAGCCAGCAGGCATCCGGGGGTCCATTCATATTGGGGGGTCTTTGGGGGATTAGCTGAATCCCCTGCAAGCCCAGTGGGTTTCTGAGCAAGGACTCTGGGAATATCAGGAATATCAGTCACAGTAGAACACGACCCAACATCACAGCAGCGGTCATAAATCACACAGCTTGTTCTGCTCATCATCCCCTGTCCACAGGTTACACTGTCTGCTGAACAACAAAAGAGCAGCAGGCAGCAGAGTGGAAGTCAACCACGCCGCACATTTGTCCAGAACACTGGGAATATTTGTATAAAGTTGACTCTCTTTTTTCCAGGGATAGGTTTTGTACAGTCCACGTAGACAAAGAAGTGGAGAAAAATATGGAACAACTAAACAAGTGTCACTGAGGTCTGGAGGATCAGTGATGGGAGGTCAAAGGGAGAAGGGGGTGAAGTCTGGCTTGGGACAGTTAACTGGAAGTGTGTGTGTGTGTGTGTGTACAGAATGCACTTGTGACACAGAGCAGTATTGACAAGCAGGACCGATGTCCCTGAGAAAACCTTCAGAATTCAATCCCATTGATTCCCACAGAGTGGAGGACACTGCCCCCGGTCCATGCTCTCAGTCATTACAGTCTGTCAGAGAACATTATACCACGCTCTGTTCAAGAAGGTTTTCACTACTTGCTGTTAAAGTCTAAAGGCTTCAGCTAACTATGTATGTTGTTGTCATATTTTGACATAACAGTTGACACAAAAAGTCCTTACTATACTACGTATGACTGTGAACAAATGCAAAAAAATTTAAAATTCCAAAAATGCCTCCAAATGCTATGAAATACCACAAAACATGTAAATAATCTATGGTAAAAATTCAAAGAAAAATTAAAATTCCAAAAATACCTCCAAATGAAATACCACAAAACATAATCTATGGTAAAAATTCAAAGAAAAAAAAATCATATTTTGACATGTTAACAAATTCTTACTAAAGGATAATGGTTTATAAAAAATAAAACATTCCAAAACACCTCAAAAAAAAAAAAAAAAAACTCCCATGCAATTATTTTAAACTTTCAATGTAGAACATGTTGTTTGCACAAACACACGCAGCAGAAAAAACGTGAATATTCAAACGACAGCCTAATAATCTGCAGTGACACAAATGAATTTGTACAATTTTAACGCATGAAATGAAACAATATTGACTGAAGAAGTTTGACAGGAGAAATCACTGCACTCTCTCTCTTTTCAACCATTCACACCAAAAAAAAAAAAAAAACCCAAACTGTCCCACGTCTCTGTCTGAGCTCACAGAGCGTTTTGTGCTCGACACTAATCTCTTCATTTCCTTAGCTGCTTCACTCTGGGCTTCATTAGATTGTTAATGCCTTTCCCATGTGTAAGTACGTCTGATAGAAGCACAGGACTCAGACGTACATGTGACCGTGTCATGTGTGTGTGTGTGAAAAAGAGACAAACGAGCAGCGGGGAGAGATTGTGCTGGGTGTTGATGAGTGGTTGCGCTGGCGGTGGCGGCGGCGGTGGTGGCAGTGGGGGTGGATGGGTGGCACAGAGTCCATGTGTTGTATGACCTTGGTCACTGCTGAGGGGACCTAGTTTCTTGCCAAGCCAATCAATAAGCTAAACAGGCGGAGGATGGCTATTTGGAGCATGGGAAGCCAAACTCAAATACTGATAGGTTATCTGCCCGTCCCAGCACCACTTCTGTGCAAATATTGGACCAGCACATTTTTCACGGTGACTTGCATTTGGAAAAAAAAAGGAAAAGAGTCAAAGAAAAAAGAGATGGGGGGTGGAGGGTCGGGGGGGGGGCAGACATGGTTGAGTGGATACATAGCAGAGTGGGTGAATAACCCCCTCCTCCCTCAGAGCAGCCTCTTGATTCGCCTTAGACCTTCAACCAACAAGTACATCTTCGTCAACGTCGCTATTTTGTACGGTGAAAACACACAGACGGACGTTGATGCTAATTAAGAACGTTGGAGCGGTTTGCTGAAGAAAACTGACGTTTTCTAGAACCACAACAGTTTCTCCTGGTCATGTCCATTTCAATATTTACTTGATGCAAATATTTGAACAATGAAATGTTTGAATATAAAAAAACACATAATAGAGATCAACCAATAGTCAAGGAGGACAACAATGTAAATAATAGTTAAAGTCATGTTTGATTCTGTAGAACAATGGTAGTGGAAACACTGCAATGACTTATGCGGAATAAAAAACAAAAACAAAAAAAGCAAGATGGCATAATCCACCACAAAAAGCAAACTTACGCCCTGGTTTGTTACCCAGATGTAAAACTTGTGCTAAAAATTACAAAAATATTTTTAATATGTAATATCAAATACTGACCAAAAATGGCACCGTATTCTAGGACTGAAATAAAAACAGTCCAACTTAACTCAGAGGCAAAGTCTCTGTCTGTGATGTCGGAGACCCAGGTTGGAGACCCCCCACACCTCTAACCCCACAAACAACCCCCCCACCCCCCTCCTGACACCCGCACACCCCCACCACACAGGTGATGTTGGATGGACCAACTGGAACCACACAAGGTAGTTTAAAAAAGGTGTGATCCGTGGTCTGAGCCCCTCCTCCTCTGAACCACAGTCACTGTAGCGTTACCTTTAAACCAATCACAGACAGTCTGAGTGGAGGCATGTGATTACAGACGGTGTTTGGTAACAGACATGGCCTCTTCATCTGTCAGTCTGTGTTGCTGGCTACTCCAATGGTGTGATGTTGTCTTCTACTTCTGCTCCTCCACTTGTGTCTGGCTCCTGTCCCTTATCTCTCTACCTCTCTCTCTCTCTCTCCAGTTATCTCTCTCTCTCCCCCTCTCTCTCTTCCTGGTTCTCCCTTCCTCTCTCACTGACACTGGGCGCAGCTCCACTCCTTTCCCTGACCATCTGGGCCTCTCCTCCATGGAAGTGTGTGTGTGTGTGTGTGTGTGTGTGTAGATGCATGCCCACAGACAGACTTTCAGAGTTTTTAGAGCAGTTGCTTCTCCAGAGGATGTATACTGTATGTGTATGCTTGTATCTGTGTGTGTGTGTGTGTGTGTGTGCATCAGGCGAAGAGTCTTCCTTCGCCAGGTGGACAGCTGCTACTTAGTAGCTTTACAGCTCTGCCAGCAAAGTCAGAGAGAGTGAGCTGGCAGACTTAACCCTTCATTCTCCAAAAACAATGCCTAATATGTGTGTGTGTGTGTGTGTGTTATTATGCATGTTGATGGGACTTGTCAGTATTACTTTACTCTCCAATATCTCACACCAGTGTTTGTACTGAGTATTTAATCTATACATTGTTTATAGGCGCTACGGGAAGTGAGATTAAAAAAGATATTC